TTTTTTTTTTTTTGATACTCTCGAAAAATTTCGAAAAAGAAGAAGAAAATTTCGAAAAGAATTTGAAAAATAGGGGAAAAAAAGGACAAAAAGAAAAGGAATAAGATAGGAAAAGTTTAAGAAAACACACAATCAATCACTCTCAAAGAAAGCACCAATGATGAAGGATCGTGTGTTTGTCTCAACTCGTTCGCCTCGAAAAAGCTTCGCCACAGCTCACTCTCAACGATAGGTGTGATTAACTCGGGTCTTAGCCTCGCCTCCAACAATTTTGAGTTCACTCGATAGTTAGCCTCGCTTTCCTCAATTGTATGATAACACTCTAACGAATATTAAACACACGGATGAATAAACGTTATTTTCTATTCAACTCAACAATATTGGACATGAAAACAATGAGGGATGATCCCTATTTATAGGTGCAAAATAAATCTAATCCTAGTATAAATAGATCTCTTAAATCATGCAATAAAATAAATCCTAAAGCAACTAAATATCTCAACATCTTCTACTACTAATGCAAGAAGGAAAGTAAATATCTACTGGAATCCTAAATATCTAGAAAGTCTAGATCTTCCTTGCCTTACACTCCAATCCAATCGGCCGCCCTATCGCATGCCGCCCTTGCGTGCGCCGACCCTCACGAAGCCTAATCCTCGTGGCGCGCGGCTTCGCGCGCGCTGCTCCCACGTGTCGTCCGCCGCCCCTGCTATGCCTAGTCCCACGGGGATTAGGCCTCGCGTGATTGTACCCCTATCGCGCCCCGTGGCGCGCACCTCACTATCGCCGACCTCCTCGCGCGTGTTTGCTCCATCCAACATTCCTATGCTCGCGCGGCTTAGGCTTCGCGTAACTGCCCCGCACTCGCGCGCTATCGCGCACGCCCCATCGCTGCCAAACTCCTCGCGTGCATCCAAGCCACCTTCGCGGTTGCTGTTCACACTTGACGCCTCTGCACCCTCATCGCGCCTGCATAGTGACCTGCGCGTCCCGCGCCACTCGCCGCGTATGCCCAGAGCCCAATTGCGCGCATCACCGTTCGATCCGCGCTGTTCGCACATTAGCCTCTTGCCTTCAACCTCATACACATCCATCCAATCAGCGCATTCGTCCGTCGATCCACAAAGTTGCCCGCACGATCACTCCACCCTTCTTCCACCCCTCGTGCACCTAATCTTCTAGCTTCCATGCGCCATGCACGTCGCTTCCTCGTACAGGCCTTGTACCAATTGTTCACCTCATGAATCCTTGGCTTGTGCTGCCCTCTTGCTCTCTTGTCCTTGCGCCTTCTTATCCTCAGGCCACATCCTCTCGGCCAATCTCGCTTGCATAGAGGTTGATAAATCGGGCTTTGTGGCTCTTCGAGCATGTTCTTCAGCCATAAGTCGTGGTCTTTGATAGACTCGTCCTCAGACTCACCGGGGTTAATAACCACTTTCGTATCAGCTGGGCGCAATGCGCAGGGCGCGGGATGACAGCGCGAGCGGGATGAAAACAAGCGGTGTGCGCGACAAGTGCGAGATGGGCAAGCACGCGCCAACAAGCGCGCAAGTAGCTGGCATGTGCAACATCACGCGCGTGGGAGGCGGACGCTCGAGAGTCCTAGTCCGCGCGGGACTAGGCGAGGTGGCGTGCGACATGGATGAAGCGCGCGTTACCATGCACGAGGAGGAATGACGCCATAGGCCGGCGCGTGAATGAGGCGGTTGGGCTTAGGGTTTGGCCGACTTGGAGTGCAAGCAAAACAACTTGGAGTTGAGGACTTGCTAGTTAATTAGGATTCTATTCCCTTATTGCTTTTATTTACTTCTAGTATTATTAGGATTTTGCTAGTAGAAGATGTTAGGGGATTTATTTTCCTTAGGATTTATATTATTACTTGGATTAGGAGATCTATTATAATAGGCTTCGATTTATTTTATACCTATAAATGCCCATGTACTCTCATCATTATTAGGAGGTCAAATGAGTTAATAGAAAATGAACGTTGTATTCAATTGTGTGTTTAAGCAAGGTCGTAGTGTGTGTTTATCATACAATCGTGTCTAAGAGAAGGCCCTGAGAGCATCTTGAAGTCACACTTATCATGTTTAGTCGAAGGCCCCGAGTGCGCGATTATTCAAAAGCGGTAGGCAAATTCATGATCCCTCATCATTGCGTCCCCCGGCGTGCGGCGCACGCCTATGCCTCCCACTCCATCAGCGCGCGCGTGGTCCCATGCCTTTCTGCATGCCTTGAGGACTGCAGCCTCGAGCCCCGCACGTGCTTCACAGTTGTGCGCGTCTCCTGCGCCCGTGCCCGCTGTATCCGTCGCCTGCGCGTTCTGCGTGCCTGCGCCAGTTGGCGCCCGCTCGTCCGTCCCGCGCACCAGTCGCCCGCAATCATTCTCGCCCGTTGGCTGGTGACTCCCGCGCTCCGTGCGTGCATCCTGCTCAAGTGCGTGCGTCTCGCCTGTTGCTCGAGCCAATCTTTTGCGTGCGTGATAGACACGACTTGCAGCGTTCTTGAGCTGCCTAGCCACTTCCGCATCATTCTCGTCCCCTTCAAGCGTTCTTGAGCTTCCTTGGCCTCAAGGATGAAACTCGGGAATTGATCACTCATCTCATCTACATCCTCCCATGTGGCTTCTTTCGGTGGCAACTCTTCCCATTCGACTAGTATTTCCCAGCGGTAACGTCCAGCTTTCTTAACTTTGTAGTATTCAATAGCACGTTTTGGGCGTATAATGACCCTACCATCGGTCGCAATTGCTGGTAACTCTTTGCACCACTTGTGCGCTTCTCCTAGAATTCTCTTGAGGTGAGAGACATGTATGACCTGATAAATCTATGAACTCTTTGGTAGTTCCAAGCGATAAGCTACTTGACCAATTCGCTTTAGAATCTCTTCAATTAGGAAAACGAAAGAAAAGAAATAAGAAATACAGTCCATAATAGCACACTCCTTGCTTAGTTGCCGCTCTTTGTGCTGTCGTGCGCTGCCTGAATGGTCGCAGCTTTAAATAGACAAATTCACCAGGCGTAAAGCTCTCATCTCGTCATTTCCCATGTGCAAAGGCTTTGGTTCGATTAATCGAGCCTTCTAGATTTTTCTTCAATTCTTGCAACATCAAATCTCGCTTCTCTAGTTCTCCACCTACCTCATCTTTGACCGTGCCTCCCTCCGAGTAATTGATTAGTGTTGGCGGTTTGCGCCCATATACCAACTCTAATGGAGTCATCTTGGTCTACTCATGGTAAGTGGTATTGTACCAATACTCAGCCCAGGGCAGAAAATTTTCCCACTTCTTCGGAAATTGATGGACATAGCACCGTACATATTGCTCAAGGGTTTGGTTAGTTACCTCGGTTTGTCCATCCGTCTGTGGGTGATATGCTGAGCTCATTGATAGCTTGGTCCCTTGCAGCCTGAAGAATTCAGAACAAGAACTACTCATAAAAATTCGGTCTCGGTCGAAAACGATAGATCGGGGCACCCCGTGCAGCTTCATTACATAGTCAACGAATAGTTTGGCGATAGATTTCACCGTATAGGGATGGGTGATGGGTATGAAGTTAGCGTACTTAGTAAGTCCATCCACCACGACCATAACTCCGTGAACCTATTAGAACTTTCCAACCCTTCAATGAAATCCATAGTAATGTCTTCATAAATTGCCTCAGGTACTGGTAGTAGTTGCAGCAGCCTGCTCGGTCGCCTTGCGTAAGCCTCGCGCGCTGGCACTCATCGCATCGGGCGACATACTCTCGGACCCTGTTGTCCTGGACAAAAGAAGGTATTGACCATCCTCATCCACGTGCGGTATATTCCCGAGTGTCCTCTAACCTTAGAATCGTGAAAGTGCTGCATGATCTTTTTACGGAGTTGTCCACTGTCGGGAACATATACTCAGCCCCGGTGAAGTAGTAGGCCATTGTGCAGCTCGTAATCGACAGTTGCGCCTCCTGCCTCGATCTCCTGGCGTAGCTCCTGAAAATAAGTATCCTTCTCTTGCGCTTTCCGAACTTCCTCCAAAATGGCCCATGTCAGTCCGGTGATAGCCACGAGTTCGACTACGTTAGTCCGTCGGGATAGTGCATCGGCCACAGGATTCTGTCGGCCCGACAGGTAGACTATCTCGACGTCGAATCCCATAAGCTTCAAGACAAACTTCTGCTGCTTAGAGGTAACAATCCTTTGCTCGAGTAGATGTTTGAGCGGTTGCTGGTCGGCCACAATTTAAAATCGCCGCCCCAATAAATAGGGCCTCCAGCATCTTACAACTTTGACAACCGCTATCATCTCCTTTACGTACACAGATAGCCCAAGTCGAGTCGTGCCTAGAGTCTTGCTAAGATAGGCTAATGGTCTTCCCTCCTGTACTAGCACGGCTCCAATTTTCACATCGCTTGCATCAGTGTGTACCTCAAACAGACCATCGAACCTTGGCATCGGGAGCTCCGGTGTCGTGGTCATGGCGCCCTTTAGCTTCTCAAATGCTTCCTCGCTAGCCTTGATCCACTGGAACCCGCCTTTCTTGGTCTTCTCAGTCAGTGGCTTGGCGATGGTCCCATAATCCTTCACAACCTTTCGATAGTAACCTATGAGCCCTAGGAATCCTCGGAGTTATGTAAGACTCGTTGGCTTAGGCCAATCGACCATAGCCTCTATGTTTCATGGATCAACCTTCACGCCATCATATGATATAAAGTGGCCTAGGTACTCGCCATCTCCTGCCAGAATGAACACTTGGACAGATTGATGTGAAACGAGTTAGCCTCCAAGACTTCGAGCACCACTCTCAAATGCTCAATATGTTCAACCCACGAATTCCAATAAACCAAGATATCATCAAAGAAGATTAGGACAAACTTACATAGATACTCCTTGAAGATAGAATTCATAGCAAATTGGAAATTAGAAGGAGTGTTGCACAGCCCGAATGGCATCACCAAATACTCATAATGCCCCTGATGCGTGCGAAAAGCTATCTTCGGAATGTCGGCCTTGTGCAGTCGGATCTGATGATAGCCAGCTCTTAGGTCAAGCTTTGAAAAGTAGCGTGATCCTGCCAATTCATCGAGCATGTCGTCGACACTACGAATGGGAAACCAATCCTTGATAGCCATTCAGTGCTCGGTAGTCGGTACAAAACCTCCATGTGCCATCTTTCTTCTTAGCTAACAGGACTGGTGATGAAAATGGACTCGAGCTATGTTGAATTAACCCAGACTCTAACATCTCAGCTACTTGCCTTTCAATCTTAGTTTTCTGGAAGTGAGCGTACCTATAGGGGTGAACGTGTACAACATGATGCTCGCTGACTAGAGGTATGCGGTGGTCGAACTCCCGATGGGGTGGTAGTCCCTTGGGCTCGCCTAGTACCCCTTCGAATTCCTCGAGAAGTTCCCGCAGATCTCCTTGCTATAGCTCAGTCTTGCCTACGCGAACTCCTGTGTTCTCGACCACTACTGCAAAAATTTGGCTGCCACCTCGCCAAACTCTTTCAATACTTTTTAATCCAACCTCCTTAGTAATTTTTTCCTCTCTAGCCTTAAGTATGACTTGTTTACCTCCAAACCTGAACTCCATGATCCCGGTTCGATAGTCAGTAGTCACCTTCCCTAATCCTTCTAGCCACTGTACTCCTAGAACAACGTCGAGTCTGACCTGGGGTAAGGCATAAATATCGGCCTCCACAGTAACCCCTTAGAACTTGATAGGCACCCCCCGAAATGACTCGGTGCATTGCAGCCTCTCACCGTTGGCCTCTCGAACTTCAAAGGGCTCAATATTCATGGTTGGCAACTTCAGCTTCTGAGACAAGTCGACATTGATGAAGTTGTGTGATGACCCATTGTCTACGAGTACGACCACTCGACGGTCCTTGACCCAAGCTGGCAGTCGCATCGTCCTTGGCCCTCTGATTCCAGCCATTGCATGCATCGAGATTTCAGCTTCCTCTTCGAGCACTTCAATCTCGTCCTCGTGCTCTGGTCCTTTCTCGACCTCAGTTTCATCATCGGAGTTGGCAACCTCTATAACAATAGCTTGCTTACATCGATGTCCTGGCATGAATTTTTTTTCGCACTTGAAACAAAGGCCTTTCTCACGTCAGCATTTGATCTCCTCAGGTGTAAATTGTTTGACTACTGGCCCCGGTGGTCGGGCGCTGATGGCCGTTCGTGCGCCCGCGGTCGCTTGGCTTGGGCCTGTGCGGCGTGTGTCGATGAAGCGGACGTCCGACCGTCCCCTTCGCGTGGCCGCTAGGTAATCCTTGCGTCGTCCGGCGACTTCCGTAGCGGCGTGCATGGTCTCGGGTCATTCTAGATTCACCTCAGCCGCCAGATCATACTTCAGACCACCTATGAATGCTCCTAGTAATGCAGTTTCAAGCCAGCCCCGTACTCGACAAGCTAAACGCTCAAATTTCTTCAGATAATCACATAAATTACTTGTCTGCCTTATACGAGTCAGCGTCTCATCTTAATTGTGGTAGTCGGATGAACCAAAGCGTGTGAGTAACTCTCGCTCGAAATCGCCCTAGGTGATGACTCGCTGTCGGTTGCGGTAAATGCATGTGAGCCATTGCCACCATACGTTGGCCTCGACATCAAGATAGTAAGCTGCGTACCTTACTCGATCATAGCCCTCGATTTCGTTAAGCTCAGAGTATTGAACAACACGGTTGAGCCAAGACTCCGTATCGTTGCCGCCGAACGTGGACAGCACGATGCGCGGTTTGTCGGGCTTTGGTCGCTCGTGGTAGTTGGATGCCTAGGACCGCCGGTCGAAGTCGTCTTCCTGATCACGTTCCTCATGCCGTCGCTCCTCTCCCTCGAGTCGCTCGCGGTCGTGGCGTTGCGCGTGCTCGTGTTGCCGCGGTGGTGGTAGCCATGCGAGCACGTTGCGTGCCATCTCATCGAAGCGCCTATTCCCTATTTCCATCAGATTTTGAACCGTCACCTTCGTGTTGTCGAGACCTTCACCCAGAGTATCCATGGCTTTACTCATACTATGGACTTGAATATCGAGATTATCGATCTTGTCCTTCATCTCCTTGTTAGCCATCGCTTTCTTCTCTTGCTTTCTCTCTTTACTTCTTGGACTTGTTTTGAAGATTTTTTTTTCTTGGATAGTGGAGGACGAAAAAAGAGTAGAAAAAGAAAGGGAATGGGGTAGGAAAAAGACACACGATCTAACACATCTCAATGAAAGCACCAATAATGAAGATCGCGTGTCCCGACTGCGATAAGCCGTAAACCAGCGCCTTGAATTGCCGATAGTTGCCTAGAGGTTCACAAACTGCACCCTTCTAAATGAATATAATTGCAATAGAATTTTGGTGAAAACTAAAGCAAAGAGAATGAACAAAAGTTCTGATTTCTCTTGATAATTTTAATGATCCAAAATAACATGGGGAAGGGGCATTTATATAGGCACAAAATATATCTAGTCCTAATCTACCTAGGGAACTAATAAAAAAATAAAATATTAAGAATCCTAGTTA